ATCTCTTTTCACTCTCAGATGCAATTTTTTCAAAGTTTATTTTCACTCTCAGATGCAATTTTCTACGCCTCTTTTCCAACCTGCTATGACATTAAATTTTTTGTCCTCTTTTGATCCTTTTTTTCACAGTCAAAAGATGCATTAAGAATCTCTTTGGAAGTATATCAATCTAAAATTATTTTTTTAGATTTTGTTCAAGTCTAATATTTTAGTTTTAGCTGCATAAATTGATCATTTTTCTGTTCTTTGATTTTATGGCACAGTAAATCAATATATGTCACTAATGGGGGAGACAGAGACAAATGCTAAATCTCTGGCTAAACTTGTATCTGAGTCTGCTTAAGTAGTGAAATTTATGTTTGTGCAAAGATTCTGGTTGTGTTTAGTTGTATTATGTATGGTTGTGGTTGTATTATCTCAAACATTGAGTTATTAATATTATGATTTTTATGTTAAAAACTTGATTAAAGTTGTTGGTTGTTTATTTAGATGAATATTATGTAATATATGTATCAAGTTTAGTCTAAACATTTAGAACAACAAGTTTATTTGGCTCAACCCAAATTAAACTCGTAAATTAACCCGATATCAACTCGAAATCATTAAGCCGAATTCAAGCCAAATCCGCCCGAATTAAACTCGGGCAGTGCTTGGGTTGAGTCCCTCAACCCGAGGTAGGGTTAGAGTTAGGGTTAGGGTTGAAGATTATACATCTAGGGTTGGGCTAGGTTTGACTGTCCAACCCATCCGAGTTGCACCCCTAGTTGATCGTCTAAGTCTGAATTAATATCCTTAAAAAGAGGGTTGGGTTTGCTCCTAAATTTATTATTCTGCCTGAAGCCCGGCCTAATAACCCGGCTCAAGAGCCCACCAAGCCTAGCTCACCCACTCTTTCTTTGAAAAAAAATTACATTTTTAGATTATTAAATTTGAAATAACTCTCTCAATGTCGAAATTTAAAATTTTAAAAATATAGATACTATAAATGATGTATTATTTTTTAATGTATTAAACATAAAAGTTTTAAAGCATAGACTAATTTAAATGATAGATAAGTGAATTGGTGTAAAACTAATTGGGATGTATTCATTCAATTGAATGTAATTCATCCCCTAATAAAAAATAAATTTATTCATTATTTTATTTTTATCTATTTTGACTCTACTTTTGATTCAAAAATATAATTTATACAAATATTAAGTTACAAAAATATTAATTATTTTTAAATAAAATTGTATATAAAAAAACTTATGAGCAGACTCGTCCAATATGCTCATTGTTTGGGCTGCGGTAACCTACCCCTACTCAATGGCTGACCCAGCCAACTCGATAACTCACTTGGGTACGGGCTTGGACCTACACTGCCTAAAATCGGCCTAGCCCATGGACACCCCTAGTACTTATTCAATGTGTTGAGTTTGTATCTCTTTGAGGAAATTAAATTTATTTTTCATTATTTAGAATAAACGATGAGTCATTAACTTTGGCGGTCTCTTGTGAATAATATTGAGTAATTAACGAGACATTATGCAACTCACCAATAAAAAGTAGACACGTGGGCAATAACAGTCATCATAACGCGCAAAGCATGCTTGAAAGAGACACCGAGGAGTTATGTCAGATGGAGCCGAGTACGCCCCTCAAAACCTAGCATTAAATAGAATCTGACAGCTTATTAATGTGGGTCTTATGTGGTTTGATAGAGCCATTAATGAACATCCAAATCCTCGAAGAATGTAGAGACATTCATTATTAGGAGGCATTAATGACCATCATGCCAACGTGAAGACCTTGGGGAAGCCTGATGACTGTCTATTCCTCCTCATGAAAGCTCGGGCGTAGGTTCCAAGCACTGATATTAAGTAGTTAATAACCAGGGTTTGGCCCATGAATGCTCAATGGTTTTCGAGTGAGGATCTAATTGCTTGTGAGGACTAGTCTTAATGAGACTTGATAAGATGACACTCATTATGTTGGAAGATGAGCACAGGCCATTAAACTCTAAAATGGGATTCAAGGACAGGACCATCATGGCAAACCCATGTATAAATACCTCTCGAAATGTCGGACTAAAGTACGCAATCTCAAATGAAGAATACAATGTGCATTGTGACTATAATGTCGACTGACTTGAGCTGCGGAGGGGATTAGTTGTGTACACACCCAGCCCCTTTCTTAATCCTTTGATTGTTTATGGTTCATGACTCAGGATCATTCGACAGATCGCTATCTCAACTTATTACAAGAATTCATCCGTGCAGTAATAATAATCTCTGATTAATACATAGATTGATTTATCTGCATATTTATTTTATGCATGAAATAAGAATTACCAAATTAAATTTCACGTTCTTTCCTTTTTCTTTTTTCTCTGTTTTTTGTGTTTGAAAATGCAAAACTTATTTAAACGCTCAAATTCAAAACTATATGAAGACAACAATATAATTAGATCACATTTAGGGTAAGATATGATGAATTAAAACCCCATTGTGATTATCTACCAAAAAAAAAAACTTGGGCTAAACACATATTATTGGCATTGATATAACAAGAAACGTGGGTGACATGTCCAAGTAAGAGCAAATTCACATGACTATTCAAGTGAAGTTGATAACGCACAAATTAGTTTTGCCCACCACCTGTCAAGTAATTAATGCAATAACAAATAAGGAGAGAGCTAACAAAAGTAACACATAGATATAGAATGGTTCGGTCACGGTGACCTACTCTACTTTGAAAGACTTTGGTTGCTAGGGTGTTTTATTGTTGTGGAAGTGTGAAGCGCTCAAGCGATTCAGGTGTGAAATAAGGTGCTAGATACAAGATGTGAGAGATGTGGGAGTCATGCCAGTCATAGATGGCCCCTATGTATAGGCGGGACTTACATTTTATAGTCTTCTCTTAATAGATTAAGGCGGTTTATCAGTAAGTAAAAGACTAATTTGGTGGAGGTGGCGTCATCTTCACAACGGATAAGACAGTTGCAGAGCTCTCCTCAAGATCGAGTTTTAGGATGGCGTGGTTGACTTCTTCACTCCTTATTCCAAAGTGGCTTGGATGAGGATCTTGGGATAACGCTTACTCCAGGGTGGCTTAGATGAGACTCTTGGGATGACGCTTACTCCAAGGTGGCTTAGATGAGACTCTTAGAATGACACTTACTCCAAGGTGACTTGGATGAGATTCTTGGAATAGCGCTTACTCCAAGTTGGCTTGGATGAGACTCTTGAGATGACTCTTACTCCAAGGTGGCTTGGATGAGGCTCTTGGGATAACACTTACTCCAAGGTGTTTTGTATGAGATTCTTGGGATGGTACTTACTCCAAGGTGGCTTGGATGAGGCTCTTGGGATGGCGTCGCCTACTCCTTGATGACAGGGCCCTTGGAGCCATGATGAGCCTAACTAGGCGTGGATCTCTTTTAGGCTAGACCCATTGGATTTTTTCTAGTGGATCATTTATTCAAGTTGGGCCCATAACCTGAGTTAGGTCTTGGGGGCTCATCATTTGCCCCCTAATGCCCTGAGTCCAATAAAACTTGGAGAAGAGGGCATTTAGCTAAATTTGGACTCTAGTGGATGAAGACTCCTTTTAAATGATGACCTTTTTTCCTTCTTGATACAGTTAATGCCCATAGGACATAATTGCTATGAATGAGTTAAGTGACTGAAGACCGTTATCGAATGAAGGAAGAGAAAAGCCGGAGGCCATTGACATCAGAGAGGAGGCTGATGGTGCTGAAGTAGTTGGCATCAGCGGATGAGCTCAAGAGGGCGTCGACAAGGTGATGTCCCTGGTGGGCGTTGGCGAGGCAGCGGGCGACGACGAGGCAAAATGTGCAGTAGGCGTAAGCGAGGCAGGGGCCATATTGGCGTCGAGGGCAAGACACTATGGGATGGCGAGTTCACCTTAGCCACCACCAATAACAGAGGAGAGGGCATGCCATAGTTGGCACCCTTGGAGGCTGGGCGAGGACGAGCGAGCACGGCGACAGCGTCGCAAGACACTGGGCACGGCCAAACAAGTGTGGCATCAACGTCACTGTGCTCAGTGGGGGTGTCAACACTAGGTGAGCCAGGCATGGCAGCGAAGGATTCTGGGCATGGGACTATGCAAGTTTAGAAGGAAGGGAAGCCAGGAGTTTGGTACTAGTGCATTAGGTGGCAATGACTCTAGTTAGGTGGTGGATGATATGGTTCGTTCAAGCAGAACTCTACGAAGTCAGATCCATCAAGATTTTCTTGGTAGTGACCCAAACAATGTCTCTCTTTGTCTTCACAAACACCGAGGAAAGGTAGCTCTTGATGGCGACGAATCCAAAGTAAGTACCATTTCCAATACTCTCAACACTGATGTTGATATTCTATGGATTACAACATTCTTCTCACTATGCTATATCGTCAAGCTGAAATGGATGAGCTTACCTATGATGACTCATCTAGGGATATTGTTATTTATGAGGAGGTGCTTCGGGTAGAACTAAGGTTTCCCATACCTTCCTTTGTTTGTCGCATCCTTTATTGTTTTTCACTTGCACCAAGATGGGGTGCCAGGAGGCTGGGCACTAGGAAGGGGCACCAAGAGGCTAGGTGCCAGGATCAGGGGAGCTAGTACCCAAGAGCAAGTGTCAGATCCTTAGTGTTGGGAGTGCAGACAGGTCTTGTATGCGCTAGGTGTTAAACGCGGCAGCGCTGCAACAATGAGGTGGTGGTGTTGGATGGATAAAAAGAATGAGGCCAAATTGTTGACATTTAATCTAATGTACTCCCGTGGGTTGCAAACCACTTGAGTTTCAAGAGCGTGCCTACAGATGGAAAAAATAATGTCACTCCAACATCAAAATATTCAACATAATTACTTGGAGAGAGATGCAGACACTTCAAGATGTAGAGAAATAGAGGCTGCTTGCGTGAGAGTAAAGACAAAATTTGAGGGTTGCTTGTGAGAGAACTGTACTTCTTCAGATTGAGCTTTTGGCGACCTGTGAGAGAGTTGCTAAGCTGAAGGTAAGCTAATTTTGAGGCTGCCCACATGAGAGTAGAGGCAGAATTTGAGGGTCGTTTAAGCTGCATCTTTTGAGACCGATCTTTTGCTGACCCGTGAGAGAGTCACTAAGCTAGAGGTAGGCTAACTGTGAGGCTACCCGCATGAAAGTAGAGCATAGATAGGTCAAGATTTTAGCGACCTGTGAGAGAGTCATTAAACTGGAGACATAGACTGTCAGCTTAAGAGTAGAGCAAAGATATACCAAGTCTTTTACGACTCGTAAGAAAGCCACTGCCTGCTTGAGAGTACAACATAGATAGGCCAAGCTTTTGGCGATCCGTGAAAGAGCTGTTAAGTTGGAGACATAGGCTGCCTGCTTGAGAGCAAAGCAGAGATAGGCCAAGCTTTTGGCGACCCGCGTAGAGAGCCGCTAAGCTAGAGATAGGCTAACTGTGAGGCTATTCACATGAGAGTAGAGGCAAAATTTATGGGTTAGGCCATGGGAGGGTCACCAAGTAGGAGGCTCATTCCAATAAATGGAAATGAGCTGGGCACCTTGGGGCTTGGGGCCTAAGAAGTTGGCTTCTGAGGGCTAGCGCCTGAGGTGCTGGGCGCCTAGGGCTTGGTGCTTAAGGGGCTGGGTGCCCGCGGCCTGGATCCTAAGGAGCTAGGCGCCTGAGGGCTGATGCTTGAGGAGCTAGGTGCCTAAGTCTTGGTGCCTGAGGAGTTGAGCGCCTAGGTAGGAGCATTGATGGGCCCTTGGCGCCTGGCGCTGAGTTTTCTTGACGATCTCTCTCCTCAAAGTGGTGTGAGCTCAGCCATAAAATATGTTAATGCAGGTGCCTTTGTGGCTTCTTTTGTCAGAGTCAGGCACATGTGATGATGATGATGGCGAGGACTCACCTGGCCTGGCTTTGGTGACATGCATTTATGTATTTCTGAGCATTTGTCCACAATTATGTCATGCTCTTTGGTAGGTGCTTCATCATTGAGAAGAGAAAGCTAGATGAGCGTAGGCTTCCCAAGAAAGCGATCATGGTGACCTTGTCATCGGGCTCCTCAATGTGGAGGACCTCGTTAAAACGAGTGAGGTAACTTCTCAGGCTTTCATCCAGGTCCTATTTTTTGCTGAGTATGTGGGTGACAAGATTCTGATGGCAGCGTCCACCAGTGAAATGTGCCACAAAGGATCTGTTTAGTTCAGCGAAGGAGCCTATGGAGGCCAGGATGAGCTTGGCAAACCACTATCGGGTAGATCCCTTTAGGGTTATTAGAGAGACTTTGCACATGATTTCGTTAGGAACATTATGCAGTTGCTTTAAGGATTTATAGGTGTCGAGGTGATCCAGTGGGCCTTTTGTGCCATCAAACGCTTCCACCGATGACATTCTGAATTTCTAAGGAAGTGGCTAATTTACCACATCGGCTATAAAAGGCATGTTAGTGCGCCTTACGAGGTACTCAACAGTTTCAAATCCTTGCACATTCATGGCATTGAAGACGTCACCTAGTTGATTTATGTACTTCCTTGATTTTTTCACCCCAATGATTGTGGACTCCTTTGGATGGATCATGAAAGTGGCTATTATGGTCCACACTTTGATTTTTCCCCTCATCCTCCTGGAAAAGGAAAGTCTCCAACATGGGAAGTGGGAGTTGGAGGAGGAGGAGGAGCTGCTCTATGGTGATGATGAGGGGTTTCAAGTCCTTGCAACTTCCTTGGTGCCCTGGGCAAGGAGCTCCGCTGGTTTGATACTCTCCTGGCTATGCACCTCCTTGTCCAACAAGCATCAATTATAGGATCTGCTGATTCTGGGTTACTAGCTGCTGTATCGTTTCCAGCTGTGGGTTTGGAAGATGATTGGCTGGTAGAGGAGCAGCATCTTCCTCTCGTGGTGGATTATCCTCAAGCTGATTCATGGATTTAGTGATGATTTTCATAGATACAAAAAAAGGATGGTTGAGTGAAAACTTTGTCATTCCCACAGACGGCACCAAAACTAATGATGCACAAATTGATTTTGCATACCACCTGTCAAGTAATTAATGCAATAACAAATAAGGAGAGAGCTAACACAAGCAACACACAGATATAACGTGGTTCGGTCAAGGTAACCTACTCCACTTTGAAGGACTTTGGTTGTCGGAGTGTTTTATTGTTGTAGGAGTGCCGAGAGCTCAGGTGAGAGTAATGAGAGCTCAGATGAGTCAGGTATGAGATAAGATGCCAGATTCAAGATGTGAGAGATGTGGGAATCATGTCCGTCATAGATGCCCCATATGTTTAGGCGGGGCTTATATTTTATAATCGCTTCCTAACAGATTGAGGTAGTTTATCAGTAATTAAAAGGTTAATGGTGGAGGTGGCGTCATCTTCGCAACAGATGAGGCAGTTGCGGAGCTCTCCTCAAGACCGGGTCTTAGGATGACGTGGTTGACTTCTTCGATCCATACTCCAAGGTGGCTTCGATAAGACTCTTGGGATGACGTTTACTCTAATGTGGCTTGGATGAGACTTTTGGGATGACGCTTATTTCAAGAGAGCTTGGATGAGCCTCTTGGGATGACGCTTACTCCAAGGTGGCTTGGATGAGACTCTTAAGATGACGCGACCTACTCCTTAATGACAAAACCCTCGGATCCTTGATGAGCTTGACTGAACATGAATTTCTTTTAAACTTGATTCATTGAATTTTGTCTAGTGAATCATTTATTCAAGTTGGACCAACAACTGAGTTGGGCCTTGAGTCGGGCCCATCAGAAGCGATTTGTTTATCGTGATTGGCTTGGCTTCAAACTAAAATTCTATTTGTTATTTATATTCCGACAAAAGGCAGCTGTACTGAAAACTATATTCTGCCTTATTGGGTAGACTTTAAAGCAAAAGCCTGTGGTAGAGAAATTTCCAAATATTTCAAACGCTAAACACCCTAAATTAAAATAAATATAACGATTACAATCAAGTAGGCTGTTCCTGACCAAATCAACAAATAAAAAAATCAAGTAAAGGATGTTTAGCATCTGTTTTGCAAAGACTTGTGTGGACTGCAACAATAGTTTTTTAATGCAAAGCAGGGCCAGCGAAATTTAATAATGTTATTTAGATTTAATTTTTTAATATAATTTATTGATCTAATTCATCATAATTATTAAGTTAACAGTAATATTATGTTTATCAAATTTTTTTTCTCTAATAATATGATATAATTTCTATTGTTAAATATTAATAGAACCCACTTATTTGATAGTAAAAAATATATCACATCATTTGAGGTGAAAAATTTGATAAAAAATATTAGTCAACATAGCAGTGTTAATTAAATTAATTATAAATTACAATAAATACCGAGTTCGTCAATACAATGACTATAAATTATTAAACCAATAAATTAAACACAAATAATCCATAATTTGGTCAAGTATTTGATGGAGTCAACTGCCCAGCAACGTTTGCGTTGGGCAAAAGACCATTATGCATTACTCATATCATATAGCTTGTCCTTCATTTTCATTGTATTTATAGATCAAGACAACAGTCAGTATGATCATATGTGTTATCTGTACTTATGAAATAGACTGGCTTATTTTTGCATAAGACAACGTATATTAATGAAATATGTTTATTTAATTTTGGATCTTTCATTCATTTGTTGTTTTATTATTTCAATTCATTTTAGCACAATATTTTGATCTACTATATTTGTGGTCGCCTTGTAAAATTTGAAAATAGTGAAATCGAATAAACTTCTATCTTTGCCGTTTGTAACAAATTTGAACATTATAATGAAAGATTTAGGTGGAGCACAAAAATTCTACAGCCAAGTTTGAGATTGGTTTAGATAGGATTGAAGGCTAAAATGATAAATTAATGTTAAAATTAAGAGATTTGACCAAACACACATGGTTTGTTAATGGATCCCACAATATCATAAATTACTTTCCAAACCATGTATTGAATAAAACCATTTGTTGTTATCCAACAATTTATTCGAGTTATTGGGATTTCATTGAGTATGTTTGGATTTAAAATCTAAACCAGTCCAATCCACCAAAGTTTTGCCAAACACCCCCAATAGGTATGATCGGGAGGTGTCTC